CATGATGGCATTGGGGTTCCTTATCGGTTATACGTGCCTGCTGGCAGCTGTTTGTTTCTTCTTTGCATTCAAGTCTCGAAAACTTCCTGAAAACTTCACAGAGGCCAAGTTCATAACATTTAGCATGCTGATTTTTTTCACTGTTTGGATCTCCTTCATCCCCGCATACTTCAGCACGTATGGCAAATTTGTCTCAGCGGTTGAGGTCATTGCCATTCTGGCCTCCAGCTTTAGTTTGCTAGCCTGTATCTTTTTCAACAAGGTGTACATCATTCTTCTAAAACCATCCAGGAACACAATTGAGGAGGTTCGCTGTAGCACAGCAGCTCATGCTTTCAAAGCAGCAGCAAAAGCGACACTACGACAAAGTCATGCCTCCAGGAAGAGGTCAAGCAGCGTGGGCGGGTCCTCTGCCTCCTCCCCCTCTTCCTCAATCAGCATGAAGACCAATGGGAATGAAACGGAGTCCCCCCCTACACGGAGACATGGTCAGAAACCAAGGGTGAGCTTTGGAAGTGGAACAGTCAGTCTCTCCTTAAGCTTTGAGGAAGCTAGAAAGAACTCGGTCAACTGAGTGCACAAACTGGTTTGTGAATGATTGTACTTCCACTGTAATGTAAATCATGTTTTTGATTAAAGGATATGGTTGGTTTTGGCATCACGGTGGTGGTATCACATATCCATCATTTTCTCCAAAGCAACCTCCACTGAATATGAGAACAGCCAGAACCCCTCCCAGTCTTCAGGCACAGACTAATCTCTGTCAACAAAACTTAGACCTGCCATAACTCACTGACACAAGAGTCATTTGTGTGCGAGCCATTTGTTTACCACAGCAATCATTCATAGGCACTTTTTATGTCACTCTGTTTAAGGCATCTGCAAAATGCCTTAAATGTAACACAGAAGCAGATAAATAAAACAAAAACACTTGATTTCTGTCTAATGTTTTCTAGTCCCTTGAAAATAGTTTTACTAGTTCGGAGAAGAGCTTACAAGCAAAAAGGGAAAGTGACAGAGCCTGTAATACAACTTGTATCTATATCAGACTGCTTTTTTGAGATGGTGACAACTCCAAGATTGCAAAGGATTTTAAACGGACCCAGAGATGACCTTTCTTGCCCAATAAGCAGGTAAGATACCTGTTGATTACATGCTCTACACAGTCCCTTTTTGACTGGAAGCTCTTCTTTGAACAAAGTTTATTTTCTTTAACAATGGATGACTCCTCACATGGTTGCCTTTTTGAATTATCCATTGTATCAACAGTATTGCTCATAATATGGCTACAAGCTGTCAGAACTAACACACCCTTCACTGCACAACACATGCACTGTAATAGTGTGACCTTATTCTCATTGGAAGTAACTTAAACCATGCAAAGACAAATGCCGTAAAAACTGACATTTCCCACTAAGTCTGATGCAACAACTTAAAACTATAAATAATTATTACAAGGAGACAGTTTGAACACAGACTTTTTACGTGATTTGCCAACAATTGTTTTTTAAACAATAAAAATCAAGGTACATTTACTGTAGATCCCAGAGGAGAATAAACATAAATAGAGCAACTAATTGCCAACAGATGTAAACAATGACATCGTAATAGTTGTTTCTGATTGGACAACAAGCTTAACAATGACAACTGTAACCGCAGATAGATAGATAATATTTCATTTTCATATAAAAACAACAATTTATATAATATATAATATAAAACAATAGCTAGGTTATTGTTACTAAATTGTTACATATTTGAGAGATGATTGCGTTTTACTGGACCATCTTGCCTGTGTCAAAATTTTGGTCTTGATATCCAAATACTAGTCAAAAGAAAGTAAATTCTTCTTTCAGTCCAAGAGAGAAAGGAAGCAGGAAACAAGGTGGTGGTGAAATGAGCAGAGGGATAACTTTGATACTCAGTCTGATTTAATATGACCAGCGCATCAAGCGTTCTACTAAAGCACAAGGAATGAAAAATTACTACCTCACAACAGAAGTGTACATGTATGTTTGCTCTGTTTAATCAAGTGGATCAGTTGACTTAAATTCAGATGTCAGAAACTGCACAAACACTGATGGTTCAGATTAAAAGTCAACATTAAAGGGATAGTTCACCCAAAAATGAAAATTAGCTTATTATTTACTGACCCTCAAGCCATCCTAGGCATATATTGACTTCCTTCTTTCAGATGAATCCAGTCGGAGTTATATTAAAAATTGTCTTTGATCTTCCAAGCTGTTTAATGGCAGTCAGCGGGTGTTGCAGTTCATCAGTCCAAAAGAAGTGAAATAAAGCACATCCATCCATAATAAAAAATGCCTCACACGGCTCCGGGGGGTGAACAAAGGCATCCTGTAGCGAATAGATGCGTTTTTGTAAGAAAAATATCCATATTCAAAACGTAATAATCACATTAATCTAGCTTCCGCCAACAGTTGTACATGGAAGCAGCTCCGGGAGGATGACGAAAGGAGATTTCGGCGTTGCGCATGCGCCGGTGAGTCTCGTGAAAACCATCGGAGTGCACCTCAAAAATCTACATATACAGGAGTTCTGACCTTTGTCAAAAAAAGTCTTCTTTGTTGCCTTTTTCTCTATCACACTTTAGAAATCATCAGAAATTATATATCAATTGAAAACTTTAAATCTCAAAATTCATCCTTTGAAACCCATTTTAAAATCAAACATTGCATTACCATGAAAATGGTACATCAATATCATGTTACAAAATGTTTTCGTTCATGAATTATAAAAATTTAAGTTTGGATAGTGCACTTTCATGTCTGTGTTCAAAAATGTGAGTGACAGTTAAAGGGTTTTAAATATGGATATTTTTCTTACAAAAATGCATCGATTCGCTACAGGAGGCCTTTGTTCACCCCCCGCAGCCATGTGAGGCACTTTTTATTATGGATGGATGTGCTTTATTTCACTTCTTTTGGACTGATGAACTGCAACACCCGCTGACTGCCATTAAACAGCTTGGAAGATCAAAGACAGTTTTAATATAACTCCGACTGGATTCGTCTGAAAGAAGAAAGTCATATACACCTAGGATGAATTGAGGGTGAGTAATTCATGGGCTAATATTCATTTTTGGGTGAACTAACCCTTTAATAAAAGCATAACCATTCAATGCATGTGTTGAAATGAGATTTAGTGACATCTATGTTCAGAAGGAAAATTAAAGGTCAGGGGACATCCTTCCCTAATTGCTTGCAAAATTGGGCCTGTCCCAATACCCACATTTGCAGTCTTGGCCACTTGAGAATGTGTGAATTCGACAGGAAGTAAGTACACAAGACTGCCCCAGGACTGCTCAGTAATGCACACTATTCTGAGTAGTATTTCAAGCTAAGCATATTCTGTCATTCATCATGTTCAGGAACTCATGTGGAAATCACGAGATGTCAAGGAAAATTTTAAAATTGCAGTGTTAATTCATTTAATTGGATATTTGATATTTATATAAAATGTAAAGTGTAGGATATTTTATAGGAATTTTATATTGTATCACAATTAAAAGCACCACAATTAAATTGTATCATTAGGAACTACTAAACAGAAATGTAGATGTTTAAAGTGCAAAGAATTAAATGTACAAAATGTGTAAGTAAAGCTCTGTAAAAACTTTACTTGCACTTGAGCACTTAATAAAATACGCCATGTAAGTAGACAAGTAATCAAATGACAGACCCAGTGGGTCCAAATACCCACACTGTGGTCACTAGTTGGGAGTGCATGCACACAACAGGAATCAAGTGCACAAGATTGTCCCACACTACATCCACATCATTTGGAATACCGCTTCAGAGCTGTATTCAAGGCTAAGCGAATCCCATCATGCATCATGTTCTGGACATAAATCGTGAGACTTGAAATGTCCTGGCTCTTCCAATCTTTATGGCAGTGAATAGTGGTTTTGAAGCAAAATAAAGTGCATAAATCCATCATAAAAAGTACACCTAAGATGGCTGAGGGTGAGTAAATCATGGGGTAGTTTTAATTTTTGGGTGAACTATCCCTTTAAATGTCATACATGGGGACTACTGAAATTAAATTTAGTTTACACTGAAAAGTTTATTTTAAAGTGCAAAGTATTACATGTACAAAATGTGTAAAACAAAAAAAAAAACACTGTTTTACAACACTATGTTGTAAGTTTGTCCCACTGGATAATCAAAAGTTCTACATACATTTGTGGTCTTCACGCCCACTTGAACGCTTTTGGGCCAAATCCAGGAAATAGATGTAAATAGTAGACAAGTATTCAAATGCAAAGACCATAAGTGTGAGTATTTGGACAGGCCCAGTATATCGTGTTAAAATGCTGTTGTTTGCGGGCGGAATGGTGTAGTTACTGCATCTGCCGGCAGGTGTTGCGGTGCTCACCAGCCTCCATTAGCAGAATGACTCCAGCCAATGACGTCCCACCAGCGTCTGTATTTGCGGAAATGCTGTGTTTTAGTACAGACACAGTGGTGGTGGGGCTTGAGCTGAGAGTGCAGCTGCTTTCAGAGCCGTAAGTCGTTTTAGCCTTTATTTACTTTCCTTATATGTCTGTGTTCTCTTCAAAAAATACCAGGTAAGAAGTGCGCAGTGCAAACTAAACTAGCATGTGTACGGTTAATAGAATCGCTAGTTTTTTCGTCGAATGTGCGACCATATACCTAAACCACGCTGTCAAATAGTTCCACTACAAATTAAATAAAGTACCGCAAAGTCTTCGCTTTCTTTTCATTTGAAATGAGGACAAAACAATTCATATTTTCAACGTGCTTTATTTCGACGTCTTGAGATCATGCTGTAAATGCTAATGTTAAGGCATGATAAACCGATTTCAAATGACATTTTTTAAGTGACAGTCATTAAGGGATAATATACATTATCGCAATTATCTTATACTACAGACCCGGGGTTGTTATCCCCCCCAGCCATGATATACAATGTTATTTGTTTCCTCTATAAAGTAATACGTAACAAACGAAAAGTGACTAGAAACAGGACCTTCAGCAGCACATTCGCAAGCACTAGCTAAAAACAATACACTTTATAAATAGTTTGACGTGGCAAGGACAAGAGAAGGTCCTGTTACAAAGAAAACAAATGATGAAATGCACACAACAGACTTAAAGTAGTGAAGTGTGTCAACAAGAAACGTGAGAAGAGGGGCGTAGAAGTGACAAGCTATGTAAGAAGGAAAAGGAACAGCATTGCTCCGGGTGAAAAACCTGAAGAATGTGACTTAACAGGTAACACTTGCCAGTAAGGAAAGTAGTGCAGTATTTTGTGTATGTGTGGGTACCTGTTTTTATATCCTGGTGGGGACTTAAACCTGAATACACACAGACTCATGGGGACTCCTGTCTCCGTGGGGACTTAAATTGAGGTCCCCATGGGGAAACAAGCTTGTAAACAATACAGAATTAAGTTTTTTGAAAACCTAAAAATGCAGAAAGTTTCCTGTAAGGGGTAGGTTTAGGTGTAGGGTGATAGAAAATACGGTTTTACAGTATAAAAACCATTACGCCTATGGAGAGTCCCCACAAGGATAGCAAACCAGACGTGTGTGTGTGTGAATATCATGTTATAATTGTGATTGTAAAAAATACATGTATAAAACCACAACAAATTCCTTGTGTTTGCGCATAAGTAAGTGGTGAATAAAGCTCATTCTGATTCTAATAAGAAAGCACCCCTACAACAACTTCTGAAAGTGAACAGTAGTGTTTTACTCAAGGCAAGCATTACATAAAAATGTCATTTTAACATTAGTGTAATCATGAGAGTCCCCACAAGGATAGCAAACCAGACGTGTGTGTGTGTGAATATCATGTTATAATTGTGATTGTAAAAAATACATGTATTTTGTCAACAAAGCTTCCCAGGTGCATATGAAGTTTAAGTGAATGCCAATAGTGTGAAGAGCTGTAATACAGACAAAGCGTGTTTGAAAGAAACTAAAATCTAAAGACAGAAAGATGATGTTTTGATTTATTTTACATTTTGCTCACTACGTAATTCTTATGATTCCATTTGTGTTATTTCATAGTTTTAAAACAACTTGCATGCTTTGACTCTTATATGAGCTACTGTATGATTACATTTTGTCCGTTCTTGTGGTTTTAAACAACTATTTAGTGTTTTTGCTGTTCACTTCAATAGCACTGCAGTGTGACAAATGCATGTATTAGGGCTGTGCGATATTGAAGAAAAATGTGATATGCGATAACTCATTAAATAATGCGATATTCGATATGCGATACGATCATGCTTAAAGTGCCACATGCTCAGATGAAACAGTTTTACTCAGCTGTTGCTGAGTCAGTTCTGTG